CTGTGGAGACCGCAGCACCTGTCCTCCTGAGAGAGTTGGTGGGGCTTGCAGAGGAATGCTATGGTGGCTGGTTTGAGAATGACCGGAGGGGACAGAGCTGACGTGAGGAGAGCAGCGAGAAGCTTTGCAGGAATCCAGGTGGGACGTGCTGGTGGCCAACCAGAGCCTGAGCACGCGAAAGGTAAATGTCACAGAGATTCCATCGGGAGCGAGACCAGCACATCTCAGATCTCAGATGTTCTCTCTAGATAGCGTTGTTTTTGAGAACAGACCCAGGCTGACAAGCTGGGCGGGTGGGCCAGGTGAGAAGGGGAAGGGATGGAGCCGTGCGGACCCGTAGTACAGAGCAGGCGTGGCGCCATGTGTGGCTCGGGGCATCGTGCTGACTGTGCGTCCGGGGGCTGACGCAGCGGGCCGCACCCTCCATGCCGCCACCTGGACCTAAGGCGGAGGAACGAGAGTGTGAACTGTCATCGCAGGGAATGAGACAACGTTCTCAGCTGTTAACACCAGTTCCCTCCAGCAGCGATGTTTGTGAGGCTAATTCGCTTCTCTGCATCGTTTCCTCTACTTCCTACAGTAAAAAATCGTGTTTTGTAATCGGAAAGAAACGAGCTTCATTTTAAATTATTGAAGCTGTGCTGTGGATCTGGGTACACGCATGCTTTCTGTGTGTGTGCAGGGGAAAGTTTAGAAAAAGAAAATATGACACCAACGAATGTTGTATGTCTCTTTGTGGAGATGTATTCAATAAGGAACACACGGACACAGACAACTGGTCCAGGGGTTTAGCTTTAGCATATAAATTACTCGATAATAATACTGATTTAGTAGGAAAGTTATGTTCGGATGGACAGGGAAATAAATCCTCATGAAGTAACACCAAAGAAATTAAAATGGGGAGAAAATATAGCAAAAGAGAACAAAAAAGGCCCTAACTGGTTTGGCTCAGTGGATAGAGCGTCGGCCTGTGGACTGAAAGGTCCCAGGTTCAATTCCGGCCAAGGGCATGTACCTTGGTTTTGGGCACATCCCCAGTAAGGGGTGTGCAGGAGGCAGCTGATTGATGTTTCTCTCTCATCGATGTTTCTAGCTCTCTATCCCTTTCCCTTCCTCTCTGTAAAAAGTCAATAAAATATATTAAAAAAGAAAAGAGAACAAAAAAGGAATAACTGTTTTTAAAATGGAAAGATAAGCAGGACATCTTACTTCTTCCAACAAAACATATGTCAGAGACAGTGAATGTTGAAAATAGATCAGGTCACTACTTGAAACCAAAAATTGTAGTGGATTATAATACAGGAAAAGCAGCAGTTGATATATCTGATCAAATGAGTGCCTATAATAATGGAATATAAAGCTAGCCTTTGAGCTCCTACCAAATACTGCTGTTCCCAATGCTCATATTTTTTTAAATATATTTTATTGATTTTTTTTTACAGAGAGGAAGGGAGAGAGATAGAGATCTAGAAACATCGATGAGAGAGAAACATCGACCAGCTGCTTTTTGCACACCCCCTACTGTTGATGCGCCCAAAACCAACGTACATGCCCCCCTGACCGGAATCGAACCCGGGACCTTTCAGTCCGCAGACTGACGCTCTACCACTGAGCCAAACCGGTTTCGGCCCCAATGCTCATATTTTATTTAAAAAGATTAGCAAGAAGAATATGAGCATCACAGAATTTCGGGAGAAATTAGCAATCCATCTAAACTGATTGTTGGGACAAAGAAATCCCAAGTAGCAGTACTGTAAATGTACCTCAAATTTCTCGTCACAAACTGCAACAGAAACTGGAAGTTCGAAGACATTGTAAAAAACTGCTATGAAGAGGATGCAGCACGATTTGGACGAGATGTTGCCAGAAAGTTGACAAAACAATTTTAACGTTGTGAAACCTGCCCAGGACAGCCATCCGTGTACACCGCGTTTTAATAAGATCCATTAAACATTTTTTTTTTTTGGTGACAAGTAATATTTAGGTCTGTTCTTTTATGATCTCCAAGTTATTTAAAATTTATTTATAGAAGAATATAATAGAAGACTATGAATTGTATATTTCCAGACGGAAAGTATAGTGTCAGTCACCGGTGACTGAGTGGCGCTCAGCGCGGTAAGAAATGTTCCCGACAGCGGTGCGGTCCAATTGAAATGTGAAGTGAACCTCGTACATACTTGGCCCATAATAAGCCCGGCTCAGTGGTTGAGCATTGACCCATGAACCAAGAGGTTATGGGTTCAATCCCCAGGCAGGGCACTTGCCCATGTTGCAGGCTCAATCCCCAGTAGAGGGGTGCAGGAGGCAGCCACTGGATGTTTGTGTGTCATGGATGTTCCTTTCTATCTCTCTATCCCTCTCCCTTCTTCTCTCTCTCAAATCATTGGAAAAAAACAAGTATTTTGAATTGCCCACCTTGAGAAAGGTAAAAGAAAGAAATAAAATGGCGCATTTTAATAATGCAAAATATCCACAATATTATGATTTCAACACATAATCATATTTAAAAGTTGAAAATATTTTCATTTATTTTTCATGCAAAGTCTTTGCAGTGCACTGTGTGTTTCTAACACATCTCAGTGGGGACTGGCACGTCCTGCTGCCCACAGCCCCGGGCGGGGTCTCAGCCACACTGCTCCGACCGTGGTGAGGGAAGGCGTTCGCTGTTTGTAAAGCAGCGTCTGATCTTATCTCCACTGAGTTCACCAGGCGTTCAGCATGTCCCTACTCCTAGATCTAATTATCTTAAAAAGCATTCTAGAAAGAACCGGAAATGTGTCCTCCCGGCTCAGTTCAGATCTCCTTCTGAAGTCCGTGCCTGCTCTGAGCCAGCCCTCCTGCGCCTGCTCCGTCCCCCACACACCCGGTGAGGTGCGGGAAGAATGTGGTTAACACAGGCACTCCGAGTTCCTGAGCCGCGTCCGTCTCACCGGTGCCATGGGCACGGTACTGCGCCCTCCCGTGGCCGCGGTGGAGCGAGCCGGAGGTGGTGGGCACCGAGCAGTGTTTCCTGGGGCGGGCGCAGTGTGACGGCGGTGACATGCGACTGGAGCATCTCAGACCGCCTTTGGGATCCCTGCACCTGCCCGTTCGACACCTTGGTGGAAGCTCAAGGCCTGTGAGAGATGGCGTGTTCGCGACCTCCGAGCCTTGGTTTCCCCTGACATGCCAGGCCACGCCTGCAGGTGAAGCGTGGGGGGCTGGCCGAGCAGGCCCCTGCTTCCTACCTTCGCCCCGAGGGCCGCCCCTTCCCCACAAGGCTGCAGGTGGGCGGCTCCAGGAGGGACTGGTGAGGAGCAGCCGGTCCATGAGAGCGAAGCGAGGCCAGGCCTTGTTCCCGAGAGGAATGGGGACAGGGGACTGGACCAGGAGGCCAGCAGGCCTGCCATCCAGCTCTGGGGACCCTTTGTCCGCGGGCTGTCTCCTATATCGCGTTGCGTGCGGCCTCTGCATAGGACCCAGGACCGTGCTGTGTGGTTCCTGGCACAGGTCTCCATCCGGGCAGGGCCAGCGGCCAGCCACCCCCTCGGGTCTCAGCAGGACCCACTGTCCGAGGGCACACCCGGCCCGCCTCCTCGGTGTCCCTTCAGGCTCCAGAGCGGGCCTCAGGCACCCACGTGTCGGCGCTCTCCGAGGGCAGCCTGCTTATCCGAGGAGGCCGGCACAGGCAGGCGGAGGCTGCCTTCCCCCTACAGCTCACCCAGCAGGCACCGCGTGGCCTCGGTGTCCATTCTGTTAGTGGGACTAACAGAATGCATTGGGGAATGAGGTCACAGTGCTTGCGATTTTTGGTGTCCGTCCAGTAAAACCAGAAACACCCCCCGCCCCAAAATCTACGTCCCCAGCAGACAGGGAGCCCGTTCTGTGACTGGGAGTGTGAGTCCTGCTTACAGATTGTCTGACAAATGTGTGCTTGACCAGTTCCGGGTGCTACATAGTCGTGAGATGAAGTCACCACGGGCTCGGGCTTGGCTGTGTGTTTGGGGACGGGGTGACACGTGTCACCGTGGGAACAGCCCTCCCTACTGAGCTTGCCCCGGGCTGTTCGCAGGCGCAGTCAGCTGTCCTCTGCCCTCGCCTCCCTCCCTGGGCTCTCTGTGTGAGGAAAGGGTCTCTGTGGGCATGTGGTCGGGAAGGGGGCTCTTCTGTCGTGCCCGCTGTGCCAGCGCAGGCGGCGGCGGCGGCGGCTCTGTGCGCTGACGGTGACGGTACCGGGAGCCAGGCTCTCGCTGACAGGAAGCAGGTGCGGAGTGGGAGTGGGCGCAGACCCCAGCAGGAACCACCTGGCCGGTGTGGATGCTCAGGTTCCCCGCCGAGAACTGTGAAGGACAGAAGAGGCATCTTTTCCTGGATGCCTCTGTCCCCAGTGAGGAGACTACATGGAAAGTGAGCGATGGCGGTCTGGTGTTCAGGGAGCGGCCGGAGCAGAGGTTCCGGGTAACGTGTGAGTGAGGCTGGGCCTGGAGGCTAACCTCTGCGTGTGAGGAGGCTGGTGTCTGACTGTGCGCTGTGAGCTGCGGGGCAGGGCGGGGAGGGGGCTGTCCGGAGCAGCGGCCTCAGCCAGGAGGCCTCTTTCTGGGGTTCTGGGTGGGGGGGTCTGTTGAGATGTCATCAGAGACAGTGGGGGATGGAGGCCCCAGGGGATGGGCCGAGACAGGAGCGCTGAGCACCTCTCTGCCTGGCGCTGCTGCCACGGGGGCTTCGTGGGGTCCCAGCCCCCCTCCCGCTGGTGCGTGGGGCGGGCAGGCGCCCGGCGGGGAGTGGCCCCGGGGGTGCCCCACCGCTCCATCCACTGTCGCCTCCTGCCGTGGCCCGTTCAGTGCTGGCTCTGCTCGGGGTGGCCACGTCTTCCCCCGGCGAGGGGCAGCCAAGGGCACACGCCGCCTGGTGTGTGACTGCGGGCACAGCCGTGTCCCCGGGGCCGTTGGGTGGCAGCGGACAGCGGGGTCCCGCTGTGGCGGTCTGGCCTCTGCAGCTCACTCCTCCTCTCCTCTCCGCAGGGCTCCAAGGTCCTGGTGGACGCGCGGGACAAGCTGGGCATCCCGTGGCAGCACTCTGAGAACGAGAAGCACGGCATGTTCCTCATGGCCTTCGAGAACAAGGCCGGGCTGCCCGTGGAGCCCGCCACCTTCCAGCTGTACGTGCCCGCCCTGAGCGCCCTCTGGGGGGACTCGGGCATCCGGGAGGCATTCAGCCGCAGGAGCGAGTTCCAGCTGGTGAGTGGGCCGGCCGGTGGGGGGGGGGTTCCCCGGGGATGGTGACCTCGGGCCATGTCCTTGGGTTCTGCACAGGCACAGGCAGGCGGAGGCTGCCTTCCCCCCACAGCTCACCCAGCAGGCACCGCGTGGCCTCGGTGTCCGGGGAGCGGGTGGCTTGGGCTCAGCCAGGTCTGCGGGCTGGGAGGGCTGCGCAGGGTGGGAGAGGTCACTCGGAGGTTGGGGTTTAGGTCTGTCTGTGGTGGGGCGATGCCCCTGGGATGGTGCCCGCTGGCGGGGTAGGCCTGGGACACGCTGCTCACCTGCTCCTGCAGCGGGTTCTGCTCAGCGTCTTCCCCTTTGCGTTAAGCCTGAACCTTTCAAGACGCGTGTTCCCGTCGCTTAGAGTCATGGAGTGTGAACCTGAGCAGGAAATGGGGGTGCTCCCTGGAGAGGCGGGCAGGCCGCACAGAGGCCGCGCAGAGCACAGCAGCGGGAGCAGGAGGGCACCGCAGGGCGGCCGGCCAGGAGCCCGTGGGGAGTGTGGGGAGGCCTGGGAACCCTCCGTCCCTATGCCACCCGGAGCGGGTGTGTGGCACGGGGGGCGTGGCAGGGCGCCATGCCGGGCAATTGGAGCTCCGAGCAGAGAGCCTGAGGTGCCGAAGCACCCGGTGGCAGATCCGATCGCAGGTTTCCAGAAATCCTGCCGTGTGCAGGGCCGCGGAGGGAGGCGCGGCCGGGCGCAGAGAGCCTGGACGGCGAGTGGTTTGAGACTGGCCCTCGGGTGTCACTGCTCCTGGGCTTTGGCTTGTTGTCTGGGGCGGCGGTCGCCAACCTTTAGGACCTCGAGGGCCACCCATGGCGACCGCTGGTCTAGAGCCTCGTCATTCATTCTTGGACCTCGAGCAGCTGGGAGACGCCAGGTGCCCAGCTGCCTCGGGGTGGAGCGGGCGTGCTCCCGTCCGGCTCTGCGAGCGGCCCCGACCGGAGCAGCAGTGCCCGCGGCGGGCGTCCTCTCTGTCCGGCTCCGCAGCCCATCGCTCGGGAGCAGCTCCATCCGTCCCTGTGGGCGGGCGCAGGGACCCCGCAGCTCAGCTGGCAGCCTCTCGCTGCCCTCTGTGGCCGGGTGGCGCCAGTGCCGCCTGCTCAGGCGTGGGATGACATGGCCCAGGTGCGCCTCCGCCGCTGGCTCCCGCTGCTCGGTGTCCGCGAGCCCGTTCTCCATCCTCCGCTGCATGGCCAGTGGCGGCCTGTGCTTTCTCGAGGCTTCATCCTGGGGCTCTGGCGCCGGAGCCGGAGCTCCCCAGAGTGGACGTTTCTGCTCAGAGCAGTGTCTTCATTCCTGGAGGTCCAGTGACGCTGCTGTCAGTGCCGTGTTCACAGGCATCGAGGCTGCGGCGTCCCCGAGTGGAGGAAGGCCGGCCGTGCGGGCTGCCTTGTCAGCGTGGAGGAGAGGTGCCCGTCATGGGCAGCTGCTGCTGCCTCCTCAGGACCGAGGAGTGGGCAGCCCGGGGGTTGGCCTGAAGCTGGCTGCGCGGTGTGCTAACTGCGGAGGGGCCCTGGGGTTGGTGGCCTGGCTCCTAACATGCTGCCACCCGGGCGTCAGAGCCCTCGGATGCCATGTGCACCGCCTAGGCCTGACCCTCCTCCCACCCTCGCCCAGTGACGTGGGCTTTTTTGGGGCCACACACCACAGGCCTGCTCAGGGCGGCGGGGGGGTGGGGGATTACTGCCTGCCCCTTTGCATTCCTGAGGCACCTGCTGTGTGCTGCATGCAGCTCCTGCTCCTCAGGTCGCTGCACCTGCCCCCCCAGCAGGCCAGGGCCCCCCCCCAGCAGGCCAGGGCCCCCCCAGCAGGCCAGCACAGTTAGCCTCGCTGCCTTTGAAACGCATCTGTGCTTTTGCTGCTACTGTTTTCATCCAGTTTCGAAAACTCTCCCCAAACCGTTGAGACGCTGGGGGCTGGGCTGGATGGGGGCGGGGCTGGATGGGGGCGGGGCTGGATAGGGGCGGGGCTGGATGGGGCGGGGCTGGATGGGGGCGGGGCTGGATGGGGACAGGCTGGATGGGGCGGGGCTGTAGCAGTGACAGCATCTTTCTGTAAGTCCCCGGAGGCCACGGAAGACAAAGAGCATGGTGCTAGGAGGAGGCCGCTCTCTAGCTGTCTCCGGCTGCTGGCAGTGCGGGGGTAGCTGGTGGGGGGGGGACCGGAAGCAGCAGCAGCTGGCAGAGGACAGTCATGTCCCCGGGCTGGTGGGACGTAACTTTTCTGCTGTCCTGAGGGCCGCTACTAGTCCAGCCGCCTCCTCACCCAGTCTCACCCAGGCCGCCTGGCTGTAGCTGGAATCTCCCCCTTCTCCATGAAGACCACTTCTTAAAATACGGCAATCTGCCGAAGCCGGTGTGGCTCAGCGGTAGAGGTCGGTCTGCGGACTGAAAGGTCCCGGGTTCGATTCCGGTCAAGGGCATGTACCTGGGTTGCAGGCACATCCCCAGTGGAGGGTGTGCAGGAGGCAGCTGATAGATGACTCTCATCGACGTTTCTAGTTCTCTGTCTCTCTCCCTTCCTCTCTATAAAAAAATCAATAAAATATATATTTTTTTAAAAATGGCAATCTGCGGGTGTAGCCTAGAAAAACAGCGGACCCCGGGGAGGGTGGGGAGGGCAGTGCTTCATCGATGCTTCATGGGGTGCAGTCTGGAACATTCCAGAGACTCTGACTTGGAGAGTGGTGGCTGCTGCTGGCGGCAGGTAGAGCGTGTGCTGGGGAGGGTGTGCCGTGAGGCGGTCACAGAGGGTTGCATGTGACTGTTTTCCGCGTGAGAAGCTCAGAGCCACAGCCTGGGTGACAGGGTGAGTGACCTCCCAGGCCCGGCCTGGCTCCAGCTGCAGGCAGTGCTCGGCGTGCGTCAGACAGGAGGTGCGGGGGAGAGTCACCCTCCTGCTAGGGCGCCGCCTGGTGGCCGCAGAGCCGGGTCACGTGGCCCTCCCAGAGGCGGCTGCCCGCGCTGCAGGCTGCCCAGGGTGACGGGTCCTCGGGGAGCCCGGGGGCACACGGGGCTTTGTGAGTCTTGCTCTCCTCGGAGTAAGGAGATACAGATGCTCAGTGAAGTGTCACGTATGCTCATGGCGACACCTCACAGCTGTGCTCCGCCTGTATGTCTTTAATTTCATGGAATCCATTCATTCAGCACATATTTGTGGAGCAGACACCATGTGTCCGGCGTGCTCACACATCCTGGGAAAGAGCGGCAAACAACACAAACAAGTCTGTGCCGGGGAGACAGCACATACGTGAACAGGGAGGGGTGTGGTATGCACATCTGTGACGTGTATTCTGTGCCGAGAGGAGAGCAGAGCAGGGAGTGGGGGGCTGTGGGCAGGGCAGCCTGGCCGGGCCAGCGAGTGGCCGAGAGGGTCGTAGCAGACGCTCGGTGCTCCCACGTCGGCTCCCCTTCGCGGTGGCCGTGGGGCCGAGAGTGCGCCAGAGCCGGCCAGGCCTTCTGCTCTCGGGTGGGTCAGGGGAGAGGCGGGGCTCTGGGAGAGGAGGGCGTGGTTTGGTTTTATCCAATAGGGTCCCTGGGCCAGTGCGTCAGGAACAGGCGGAGGCCTGGGGTCGGCTTTGCAGTAAGTGAGGTGACCATGTGGTGGCTCAGATCAGCGAGGCGGTGGGCGGTGAGAATGGGTCAGGTCTGCGTCCTTAGAACCCCGAGGAGCTCCCCGCATCTCACTGCCCTCCCCCCCATTGTTGCTCATGTTGCCTCAACTGAGGCCCATCACCAGGATGCTGTTTGGGGTTGGGGCAATTTTAAAAAAATAAATCTATGCTTCTCAGTGAATGTTCCCTTTTTAAAAAATATATAATTGTATTGATTTCAGAGAAGAAGGGAGAGGGAGCGAGCAATAGGAACGTCAGTGGTAAGAGAGAAGCATCAGTCGGCTGCCTCTTGCATGCCCTCTGTTGGAGTTTGAGCCCACAGCCCTGACCGGGAATTGAACCAGCGAACTCTTGGTTCATGGGTCACCGCTCAGCCACTGAGCCACGCTGGTTGGCGTGAATGTTCCCTTTTGAAGAGAAGCTTCACCTACCGGCTGTAGTGCAGCATGTGGTCAGATAGCTCAGGGTTGTGAAGGAGCCCCCTGCTTACTCTTGTCTGCTGAGCCTAAAGCACGCACCGGGAAACATCCCGAAGTCTCCGCTGCAGACGGCGGAACATGCTGTCTGAGAGGCCGTTCACTGACCTTTCAAACGTGCTCTGTCCCAGCCGGCACCGGCTGCGGGGGCTCTGCTCCGGGCACACCGTGTGGCTCCGAGGCGGCTCCCGGGACAGCGGGCTGGGCCCCGAGCCCTCGTGGGCGCTCCACCAGCAGCGTCTCCCTCTGTGCGATCCACTCAGGAGGGAGGAGGCTGCCCGTGCCCTGCAGAGAAGAGGACAGGGCGTCCCGCACAGTGTGGGCGCGGGGGCTCTGGCGGCCGGAGGCTGTGGGCCCCTGTGGCTCTCGGGAGGAGAGCAGTGAGCGAGGCCCCTGCAGCCCTGGCTCGCCCAGGAGTGACTCAGCGCAGGCGGCCGGGCCCCGGCAGCCCTCGGTGCTGCGTGTGCTGAGAGCACGCGTGGAGCGGAGGCGGCATTGAGACCGGAGGCGCTGTGTGCGCTCCCCCGACCCAAGGACTGCACAGGGGCGCGGGGCCGCGGGGAGTGCCGGAGGGGCATTGACGCAGGGCTGGCAAGGCCAGAGGAAGGCGTCCCTGCGGGCGGCCTGCTTCCCCGGGGCGGTGGGCAGCCTGCGCTCGGTTCCTTCCCGCTCCCCCTCCTCCTGGCGTGTGACGGGAGCTTCTCCCGGCCTCGCCTGACACGGGTGCCCCCCCAGCCGGGTGTCCGCTCCGAGCCCCTCACTCCCACAGCAGAGCCGTCCTTCGGCGCTGGTGGAGGAGGCGGGGAGCCTCCGGAGGTCAGGCCGGTGTCTGGAGCCAGCAGCCAGCGCGGAGCCTGAGCACAAGCGCCCTTTATGCGCAGCGTCT